GGCGTCAAGGCCAACAGCAAGCGTTTGATGTGCCCGCGCGATCGTATCTGGACACAAGCTGTGGCCAGACGGTGCGGATCACAGAAGACCTCAGGCTCGGTTCACAACGGGCAACTCGCGACTGTGGGCACAAAAGCATTCATTCGGTTCAACTGCCGTCAAGGTGCACATGTTGGAAATTTGCCTCGGTGCGCTGCGCGTCCGGGGCTCTGCGCCGAGAAGCAGCAAGCAGAGCTCGCTGCGCCAGGACACACAGAGGGCATGGCTTGCACAGTTGGGATCGCGAGATCGCCCCAAGTATTCCTACAAGTGCTATCCTACCTTGAAGACCTCGTCGAACCAGGGCCGAACGGCGCAAGTCAAGCCTGTCCACGCAAGCTTGTTCAAGCAGCAGCGAAGAACAGCATGATGAGGCAAGCCCTTGATTTTGCATGGAAAATGAAACGGTGAAGCGTTGGTCGGTAAATGCTGTACAACTCGAAAAGAGCGGGCTGTGCCTGTGCTATACTTGCAATGCCACGCCTTTAAACATGACGACAGCCTGCACGGGCATTCAATCGTCTCCCGGCTCATCATTCTCCATGATCTCCTCGACCACGGCAGGCGCTGCTGGCGGTGCTTCTGGCGGTGCTTCTACCTCTGCTGCCAAGCCGGCGTCCGGCGCAGGGTGGACCTGCTCGTGCAGGCCCTGCAGGCTCTTTGCTTTGGCTGCCATACCCTGCATGCTCTCGAAGATGGTGATCAGCTTCTCCTTCTTCGGTAGGCGCGTCATCTGCTTCAATGTCTGCAGAACCTTGGCAAGTCCATGCTCCGTCAGCACGGGCTCGGGCACGTTATCCAGCAGTGCGACCAGCGCAGACAACGGCAGCCTCTCCTTCTTGTTGTCCTGGTTTGCAACCATAGTCTGCAGCTCCTCGGCAAACTTGACCACCTCGGATTCTTCCCAGGACAGATGTGGATCTGCAGCAGCTTCCTCCTCTACATCATCCTCCTCGTCGTCCACACGGAGATCAACTGCAGCCGGCTTCTCCGCAGGTGGCTTCTCCGGCGCCGCAGGCTTCTTCGGAGCCTTCGGCTTCTTTGCCTTCTTCTTCCTCCTCTGGCTTTCTTTGGAAGCAGAAGACGAGCGCGACTCCTTGTCGCTGTCGGTGTCAGATCCTCTACCGCCCGAGTTCTGGTCGGACTCGGAGCGGGAGTCCTCTTCGCTGGCGTCCCCGTCATTGCTGCTGTCTCCGAAAGCACGCTTCTTTCGCGGAGCCTTGGCTTCCAAGCGAGCAGCGTTGGTAGTCGCCACGGCTTGCGCACAAGTCTCCAGAGTCTTCTTGCGCATGAACCTCTGTACGGCCTTGTCCTGCTCCTTTTCGTCCGGGATCTTCTTTGCCCAAACTTTCGGGTTGGCCGCCAGGGTGCAGAGCTCCAAGCCGGCCATGGCACCTGCATACATGCGGGAGCTGGTGTCCGCCAGGCGCGCAAAGTCCTTGACTTGCTGCTTCAACGCGTCCTTCTTCCCCAACTTCTTAAGCACCTTCTCAATTTGGGGCGACGCCGAGGAAGCATCTGCGCATTCCTTATTGGTCATGTTGGCCACAGCGAGCGAGGCACGGAGGGCTTCCAGAATCTTCTTGACAGCGGGAATCCCGGTCTGTCCATACTTCTTGTCTGCCGACGCTGCCGGCAGCACCGCCAAAGCTGCTGCACAAGATTCCAGTGCAGCGGCGGCCAGGCTGACTCCCAAGCCTAGCCGAGCAACGCACTCGGAAGATTCGGCTGTCAGCTGCTCTGCCAACTTCGAAGCAGTGAAATAGTCGGAAGGAGCTTGCTTCTCCGTCAAGAGCATGCAACCATCCTCGTCGGGCCAGCTTCGGAGGAATGCTTTCACGGGTAGCCTGTAGAAGGGAATGCCCGGCGGATACTTCCCCTTGGTCTTGTCATCTTTCGCGACGCGCTTGCCCGCCGATTTCCGCGGTGTCCATTTGCCCATGGCTACAGAAGACGAGGAGAAGAAAAGTAGGGCAAGTCTGACTGCTGCTTGTGCTCGGCACGGCAGGCGGAACACGTGTCCCGGATGGCTGCTAAACTCGACAGAGACTGTGCGACACGACAGACAAGCACACAGTGCAGCTTTTGTGCTTTCACAGCTGAGGATGCCAGGGCATGTGCTCCAAAATCGAGACGCACGTAGCTACCTCACTGTACATTGCGCATTCCGTAAATTGATGCAGGCGGCTCGTTCTGTATCGAACCATTCGCAGACAAGAGTCTATTGCGGCCAGGTCGCTTCCACACAGCCAGCAAACTAGCCCGTCGGGAACGTCCTGTTGTGATCTAGCCCTTCACGAAATCCTCCTTCTTTCTCCCGTGGATGAGCGTCGTCGCCCTGCGGGAAGCCGTAGTTCTTTGCCGCGACGATGAAGGTGTTGTAGCCAAGTCCACACAAATATTTCGTAGGTTTCGGTTGGTCATACTAACAACACTAGAAATCAAAATCTGCTGAAGGCTAGGTCACCCCAAGACTGCATCACCCCACATGGCTGGATCACTTCAAGAGCTGAGTCACCTCAGGACTGGGTTTGCCAGAACTGAGTCACCCCAGCCTTGAGTCACTCCAGCCGTGAGTCACTGCAGAACCTGGGTCACCCCAGACTCCTTGACTGCGGCCAGGTCGCTTCCACACTGCCAGCAAACTAGCCCGTCGGGAACGTCCTGTTGTGATCTAGCCCTTCACGAAGTCCTCCTTCTTTCTCCCCTGGATAAGCCGTCGCCCTGCGGGAAGTCGTCGTTCTTTGCCGCGACAATGAAGGTGTTGTAGCCACGTTCGCGCCAATGTTTCGTAGGTGCCGATTGGTTATACTAACAACACTAGAAATCAAAATCTGCTGAAGGCTAGGTCACCCCAAGACTGCATCACCCCACAAGGCTGGATCACTTCAAGAGCTGAGTCACCTCAGAACTGGGTTTGCCAGAACTGAGTCACCCCAGCCTTGAGTCACTCCAGCCGTGAGTCACTGCAGAACCTGGGTCACCCCAGACTCCTTGACTGCGGCCAGGTCGCTTCCACACTGCCAGCAAACTAGCCCGTCGGGAACGTCCTGTTGTGATCTAGCCCTTCACGAAGTCCTCCTTCTTTCTCCCCTGGATAAGCGTCGTGGCCCTGCGGGAAGTCGTCGTTCTTTGCCGCGACGATGAAGGTGTTGTAGCCAAGTCCACACAAATATTTCGTAGGTTTCGGTTGGTCATACTAACAACACTAGAAATCAAAATCTGCTGAAGGCTAGGTCACCCCAAGACTGCATCACCCCACAAGGCTGGATCACTGGCAAACCCAGTTCTGAGTCACCCCAGCCTTGAGTCACTCCAGCCGTGAGTCACTGCAGAACCTGGGTCACCCCAGACTCCTTGACTGCGGCCAGGTCGCTTCCACACTGCCAGCAAACTAGCCCGTCGGGAACGTCCTGTTGTGATCTAGCCCTTCACGAAGTCCTCCTTTTTTCTCGCTTGCATAGGCGTCGTGGCCCTGCGGGAAGTCGTCGTTCTTTGCCGCGACGATGAAGGTGTTGTAGCCAAGTCCACACAAATATTTCGTAGGTTTCGGTTGGTCATACTAACAACACTAGAAATCAAAATCTGCTGAAGGCTGCGGCTAGGTCACCCCAAGACTGCATCTCCGGCAGGTCCTCCTTCTTTGTCCCCAGGATAAGCGAACTGGCTCTCCGGCAGGTCCTCCTTCTTTGTCCCCAGGAGAAGCGAACTGGCTCTCCGGCAGGTCCTCCTTCTTTGTCCCCAGGATAAGCGAACTGGCTCTCGGGCAGGTCTTCCTTCTTTGTCCCCAGGATAAGCGAACTGGCTCTCCGGCAGGTCCTCCTTCTTTGTCCCCAGGATAAGCGAACTGGCTCTCCGGCAGGTCCTCCTTCTTTGTCCCCAGGATAAGCGAACTGGCTCTCCGGCAGGTCCTCCTTCTTTGTCCCCAGGCTAACTCTTCCTTCTTTGTCCGCGAACTGGCTCTCCGCGTCCTCCTTCTTTATTTCCCCCCAGGATAAGCGAACTGGCTCTCCGGCAGGTCCTCCTTCTTTGTCCCCAGGATAAGCGAACTGGCTCTCCGGCAAGTCCTCCTTCTTTGCCCCCAGGATAAGCGAACTGGCTCTCCGGCAGGTCCTCCTTCTTTGTCCCCAGGATAAGCGAACTGGCTCTCCGGCAGGTCCTCCTTCTTTGTCCCCAGGATAAGCGAACTGGCTCTCCGGCAGGTCCTCCTTCTTTGTCCCCAGGATAAGCGAACTGGCTCTCCGGCAGGTCCTCCTTCTTTGTCCCCAGGATAAGCGAACTGGCTCTCCGGCAGGTCCTCCTTCTTTGTCCCCAGGATAAGCGAACTGGCTCTCCGGCAGATCCTCCTTCTTTGTCCCCAGGATAAGCGAACTGGCTCTCCGGCAGGTCCTCCTTCTTTGTCCCCACAGGAAGCGAACTGGCTCTCTGGCAGGTCCTCCTTCTTTGTCCCCAGGACAAGCGAACTGGCTCTCCCGCAGGTCCTCCTCCTTCTCTGTCCCCAGGATAAGCGAACTGGCTCTCCGGCAGGTCCTCCTTCTTTGTTCCCAGGATAAGCGAACTGGCTCTCCGGCAGGTCCTCGTTCTTTGTCCCCAGGATAAGCGAACTGGCTCTCCGGCAGGTCCTCCTTCTCTGTCCCCAGGATAAGCGAACTGGCTCTCCGGCAGGTCCTCCTTCTTTGTCCCCAGGATAAGCGAACTGGCTCTCCGGCAGGTCCTCCTTCTTTGTCCCCAGGATAAGCGAACTGGCTCTCCGGCAGGTCCTCCTTCTTTGTCCCCAGGATAAGCGAACTGGCTCTCCGGCAGGTCTTCCTTCTTTGTCCGCGTGGGCGGTTCAGGAGGTACTTCTTCTTCTTTGCGAAAGCCTGGGCGGGATGGTCCGCTTCAACTTGACGGTATCATGACATTCTCAGACACGCGCTAGTGAGTTTTCACCCGAGCTTCTGCACCTGCCACAACTGCCGCTAGACCAAACGGAACTCGCCGTGTGCGCCTTTGGCAGACCGACTTTGACAAAAGTTTTGTCGAGGGTCTGCTATTGCACCCGCCCAGACAACACCTTCGAAGCCGCAGTAATTAAAGATGATGACAAGACTTGCGGCAGGTTTGCGCAGAGGACCGGTTTCATCCTCAGCGGTTTGTCCTTGGCAGGGCTTGTAGAAGAACCTGGCTCTGGCATCCTGGAAGAAGTCGCTGAGCTGGGCCCCTTCTGCTCGCAGGTACGGAAACCACGCATTCATGATCAGGACTGCTTCTGCAGGTGTGAAGGCAAGAAGGTCTGCGTCGTACAGCCACTCAATCATGCGGTTCTCGCTGCCGAGCCAGCCGTGCCATGGATGTGAGTGTGGGTCCAACCAAAAGGCCCTATGTGGGCGTGATGGTTCCACGTAAACTGGAAATCCCGGGGCATGAAAGCCGGGCAACCGCAGGCGACCATCCAGAAGAGGCTTCAATGCGGCCCGTGCCCGACGGATGCTGCTTGCGATGTAGACCCGCAGCGAAGTGCCCTGAACACCGGGGCCGGTGGCCAAGCAATTCCTACTGCATCGAAGCAGCGGCACCGCGCCAGCTATCCCCAGCAATGGGATGCAGTTCGTGCCAGCAGCTTCTAGAATCTTCTCCAGCGACATGCCGCGGCAACTGATAATGGCGCAGGAACAGGCAGTCTCTCGAGCCGGATGGTTGCCCAAGCTCGCAGGCTTCGTGTCGCAGTAATTGGCAAAGCCTACCTGAAGCCGCTTGCAAACTTGGACACTGCTTGCGTTACACGGACAGGCGGTGGATCTGGAGTCCCGATCAAGCAAAGCTATGCACAAGCCGAATCCATTCAAGGAGCGCAAGCATGTTTTTCGGAAGGTTGGGACAAGCTGTGCTCGTTTCTTGCCCCTGCTGATTCACCTGTTGTAGGCGGCAGCGGTGCAGATCCTCGTGCTACTGGCTGCAACCTAGCCAGCCCAGGTGTGATTGATTTGGAATCCACGGCGCTACAGCTGCTGCTGCTGCTGCTGCCGCTGCCGTCGTTGAGCAGCTGAACTTGCAGCGTGGCGCAGAAGCTGGGACGGCCCCGTTTGAGATTGCCGCTGTCGCTTCACACGAGGCTCACACACTTCGCTCTTATCCGTCTCCGCAGCGTCAGGAGCACCTGGAAGCTCCACAGCTTCGGGCAAGACTTCCAAGTTGGGCAAAGCCAATGGGATCGGTGTTGCGATCAACCTTCTTTCTGCTTCTTTGAATGCGTGCACGATTTGCTTTGCTGCATTGTCGAGAGACATGGCTTGCGACGATGACCATGCTGTCAGCCATGCCACATCTTCCTCGGGAAGCCAGGACACAAGGAAAGCAAGGTCGCTGCTGTGGCGCCCCAGCCGATCAGCCGCGCCAGCGACAGGCGGCCCAAGAGGTTGATTCGCGCCAGCTTGTTTCCGAAGAGTTGCAACAGCGTCTGACTTGACCGTGGCCCAGGGTAGAGGCTCGAAGGAACGCCGCACGGCCAATGCCATTGCTACTGCAGAGCAAGTGAGACCTGTGGTTGCTGCACTAAGCTGCCAGTGCTGTCGGGCTTGGGACTGCAAGCGGGGTGATGTAGTGAGCTCATAATTGCCGCGAAACTGCTGATGGCACTGTCGCTGTATACAGCGGTGGGCAGGCTGCGTTCGTTCTCTCCACAACCTATTTTTTTGAACATGCCCTGCGAAGGTGACGTGCCTCAGCACGCGATGTCTAGCTCTACTTGCCACTACAGGTCTTCATCTGCGCAGCCAATCTGCTCACCAGCTCAGAAGCTGAAGTCCGAGATCTCTGACTCGTCCTCGGAGATGTGCGCGTCCGACTGGGTGTCCGACACGTCGAAGCTCACCGGCGGTTGCTCATGCGATATGATATTCTGCTGTTCCGTGAGCCCTAGCTGCCAGCGCAGCACCGTCTCCACACTGCCCAAAGAGATTCGATTATGCTTGGGCTCGCGCATCTCCAAGATGAAGTCGCCCGAGAAAGCGCTTCGCACAGACAGCTGCTTCCCTGCATCCGCGTCTGCCATTTCGAAGCAAACGTGCAGGTCTGGACGTATCTTGCGGATGGCCAGGTGGAAGAGGCACGACTGCCCGGGAGGGACGCGTAGGTGGCCTGGGAGTAGTGCCCGGTAAACCCACACTTGCTCGCCGTCCGCCGTGAACGTCTTGCAGTGCTCCCAGACACAAGGGTGCTCCCAGGCACAATGGCGGGCGCACGGGATGGGAGCATCATAGGCATAAATCTCGACAGGCTGCTGTTGCTCCACTCTGGAACATTGCTCCGATTTCACCCAACGGGTCAAGGACCACTTACATGGGCACGGCTGCTCCCAGTGCTCTGAGGCCAGAACGTCCGATTCGACGCGGCAGCACTCCATATCTCGTGGGTCTAGCGAAAGGACGACAGCTTCGGCGACCGATCTGCAGCCGAAACACCTTGCGCACGCAGTCAGCCATGCCAGTGCAGGACAGAGTCACGCTTCAAGCCCCATTTCTCTACAGGTGCTCTATGCCTGGAGCTTTTATTAAATCCTGCATAGCAGCTCTCACTTTTGCCAGCATGGGTACGGTAGACAGTTTTGAAGCCCGCTGTTCGGGACTGCGCCCAGGTTGTCCTGGCCCCTGGAGCCAGCTAGCAGCTAGCAGCTCTCGCATCTCGGACTCAGGCTCGCCAGGAACCGATGCCGTCCCAGACTTTCTCCAAGCGATTCACGAAGCCGTAGGCAGACAAGGGCTTCTGAACGTCGGGGAGAAAATAGTCTCCACACATGGCATAATTCAGGGCGTAGTAGTGGAACTGCATGCATTGCCGTCCGCCCCGCCTGTACAGGTAGATGCCCACTCTGCGTTGCACCGGGAAGGCGTGCGCCCGGTCACGTCCGGCTGACTCCCACAAGGCTTTGAAGCAGGGGTAATGGAACCAGCCTATCTTGTCACGTGTCCAGCCCATGAGCAGCATCACTTTGAAGAAGTTCTGGGAAGCGCAGGACGAGCACTCTCCTCGTGACTCCAACCGAAGCCAGGTCTTCATTGCTTTGTAGGAAGGAGGCGCATGCTGTGTCGCAAAGGTCATCAGCTCCGCGCACTCACGAAGAACTTCTCGCCGAAAGTCCGGATCGCTCGGGAGAGGTGGATCCGGCACCGCGTACTCACCCCTTACAATCGGTTGCCGTGGGGACGTCGGTGGACTCGGGGATGCAAGACTTTCCTCCTCGCTGCTGCTGCCATCCAGTTGATACCACCTCGCGGAATTCATGGCCGGCATCGTGAATTGCCTGGCAACTCAGGTATTTTCTCCCTCGTGACTACTTGATGTGTGGAAGCGCAGCTACTTGTGTGCTGGAGCCGACAAGGAGGCAGACAGAGCTCAGCATCGTCGCACGCATGCTCATGCTGTCTCCTACCTTGTCGCTCGTGCCGCGCTGTCTTTTCTTTGAAGTGCCGCTGACCTGTGCGCTCCTTAGTGAAAACTGCGTGGTTCTTCTGGGAGGCTCACCGTCACTGCTGTGCCTTAGCAGTTGGTTGACCGAACTTTGCGTACCTGCTTGCCCCGTTTTGGAGCATTGTTGCTGGGCTTGCTCTGTGCATCGTCCCAACGCTGCCAGCGCTCGCGAGTCAGCCACTGCACGCTACCCTTGGCCACCCAGCTGGGAATGGCGACCGGTGGTCGTAAACGCTGCACGTCCGCAATTTCCCAAGCCCACGGATCTTCGTAGGACAGAACCTGTCATGGGCACCGACGCTTGAAGCTTTCGTAGATTGCGATCACAGCTACATGGTACGTTGATTCCCTTTGCACTGCGACCTCCAGAGCTCCTGCGTGTTCTTCACGCTCAGCTGCAGTGAGCCGGCGCGACCCGGAAATCAATGCCCGCCCTTGTATTTCAAGGACGCCGGTGGCTGCCAAAGAGATCCAGCCTTCGTGGGGGCAGGGCCTGCTCCTGATCTCGATGCGCTTCGTGCCTTCCAAGATCTGCTGCAGCCAACGCGGGTGAATCTTGAGCGCGCGGGAAGTGCTGCCAAAAGCTGCTTCGGCAGTTGTTGCGGCCATGCTCGCCCGCAATGAAACTAGAACACCGACAGGTTGCAGTCTTCCTTGGCCTAGCAACATGTGGACGCTTCGTGAGCCAGAAGGTTCGCTGTGTTTACCGGGCGTTCATACTCTCGACTGGCAAGTAAAATCATGTTGCACGCGTCCAGGGCGTAGATTTTCTAGATTTTCGCTGGGGCATCGCCAGATGCCACTGCCGGGCGATTGTGAGACTCGTTAGAAAGCTACAGCCCTATGCACAGGGACGACGGCGAAGTAGCAGCTGGCCAGTTGGAGTGAAACAACGTGGCCCCACTTTGGATGTGGCCCGGCAAAATGGCATCCCGTTCCTTGGCTGGACTCCGGGTGTTCAGTCTGCAACCTGCGTCTGGCCGCGTGACTGTTTGCCGCCGAGCATCCGGCAAGTGTAAGCCACGTGTCCCACCTGCCGGGGTCCGCGGAGTGGAAATGAGCTTGTAGCAGGAGAAGTGGACCCACTCGCGTGAGAGACCATCCGCCGTGTCCATTTGTGCATTTGCCGTCTCGGGTGACGAACAAGCATAGCAACGCCGAGGAACGCCTCCGGAGTTGCTGCAGAGCACGACACACACTCAGTTAGTGAGGCTAGTGGGTCGTGCAAGCCAAGTTGCTGAGTGGTTAGGCTGCAGAGAACCAGCTTCTCGCTGTTACGGGCGATGTAGCCATTCGGCCGCCGGTGCTGGTAGGTGAACTCCCAAAAGATCAGAAGCATCATGGCTGTTTCGACAACCGCACTGCTAGCAGCAACAGCTCTGAGCATGAAAGCTACAGCAAATCCGGATAGGAAAGAGCAAGCGGCAACTTCTGAAGCAAGCCGTTGCTTTGCTTTGGGAGACACTAGGCCTGGAAAACCATGCTCGGGAATATCTTGTGTCACTGCCTCAGACATGTCTCTCGCCCTGCAGAAAGTCGTTGTTCTTTGCCGCGGCGATGGCAGCGTTGTGTCCAATTCGAAACAAATGTTTCGTCTTTGCCGGTTGGGTGTACTAACAATACACTAGTTGTCGCAACAAAACAAAGCAAAATCTGCTCAAGATTAGGTCACCCCAAGACTGCAAGTCTAGGGCGCCGCAGACTTGTGTTCTGCGGCCAGGTGGCTTCCAGAAGCAAGCAAACAAGCCCGTCGCGAAGTGCTGTTGCGATCTAGCCCTCCGCATAGTCCTCCTTCTTTCTCCCCTGGATAAGCGTTCTCGCCCTGCGGGAAGTCGTCGTCCACGACGATGGCAGCGTTGTGCGCAAGTCAAAACAACTGGTTCGTTTTTGCCCGTTGCGTGTACGATAATAAGCTAATTCTCACAACAAAACCATGCAAAATCTGCTCAAGACTAGGTCACCCCAGGACTGCATCACCCCAAGACTGGATCACCTCAAGAGCTGGGTCACCTCAGGACTGGGTGTGCCAGACCTGAGTCACCCCAGCATTGAGTCACTCCAGACGTGAGTCACTGCACTCTCGGGTCACCCCAGACTTGTGTTCTGCGGCCAGGTGGCACCCAGAGCAAAACTAGCCCGTCGCGAAGTCCTGCTATGATCTAGCCCTCCGCATAGTCCTCCTTCTTCTCCCCTGGATAAGCGTTCTCGCCCTGCGGAAAGTCATCGTTCTTTGCCGCGACGATGACATCGTTGTGTCCAATTCGAAACAAATGGGTATGCTCAAAAAAAATTCATAGCAAAGCCCAGCAAAACCTACTCAAGACTAGGTCATCGAAAGCTTGTCTTCTGTCGCCAGGTGGCACCCAGAGCAAACTAGCCCGTCGCGAAGTCCTGTTGCGATCTAGCCCTCCGCATAGTCCTCCTTCTTTCTCCCCTGGATAAGCGTTCTCGCCCTGCGGGAAGTCGTCGTCCGCGAAGATGGCAGCGTTGTGCGCAAGTCAAAACAACTGGTTCGTTTTTGCACGTTGGGTGTACTATAATAAGCTAACTCTCACAACAAAACTATGCAAAATCTGCTCAAGACTAGGTCACCCCAAGACTGCATCACCCCAAGACTGGATCACCTCAAGAGCTGGGTCACCTCAGGACTGGGTGTGCCAGACCTGAGTCACCCCAGCATTGAGTCACTCCAGACGTGAGTCACTGCACTCTCGTGTCACCCCAGACTTGTGTTCTGCGGCCAGGTGGCACCCAGAGCAAAACTAGCCCGTCGCGAAGTCCTGCTGTGATCTAGCCCTCTGCGTAGTCCTCCTTCTTTCTCCCCTGGATAAGCGTTCTCGCCCTGCGGAAACACGTCGTTTTTTGCCGCGACGATGACATCGTTGTGTCCAGTTCGAAACAAATGGGTATGCTCAAGAATTCATAGCAAAGCACAGCAAAATCTGCTCAACACTAGGTCACCCCAAACTTGTGTTCTGCGGCCAGGTGGCACACAGAGCAAACTAGCCCGTCGCGAAGTCCTGTTGTGATCTAGCCCTCGGCATAGTCCTCCTTCTCTCTCCCCTGGATAAGCGTTCTCGCCCCGCGGAAAGTCGTCGTTCTTTGCCGCGACGATGACAGCATTGCGCGCAAGTCAAAACAACTGGTTCGTTTTTGCCTGTTGGGTGTACTATAATAAGCTAATTCTCACAACAAAACTAAGCAAAATCTGCTCAGGACTAGGTCACCCCAAGACTGCATCACCCCAAGACTGGATCACCTCAAGAGCTGGGTCACCTCAGGACTGGGTGTGCCAGACCTGAGTCACCCCAGCATTGAGTCACTCCAGACGTGAGTCACTGCACTCTCGGGTCACCCCAGACTTGTGTTCTGCGGCCAGGTGGCACCCAGAGCAAAACTAGCCCGTCGCGAAGTCCTGCTGTGATCTAGCCCTCCGCATAGTCCTCCTTCTTCTCCCCTGGATAAGTGTTCTCGCCCTGCGGAAAGTCATCGTTCTTTGCCGCGACGATGACATCGTTGTGTCCAATTCGAAACAAACGGGTATGCTCAAGAATTCATAGCAAAGCACAGCAAAATCTGCTCAACACTAGGTCACCCCAAACTTGTGTTCTGCGGCCAGGTGGCACCCAGAGCAAACTAGCCCGTCGCGAAGTCCTGTTGTGATCTAGCCCTCGGCATAGTCCTCCTTCTCTCTCCCCTGGATAAGCGTTCTCGCCCCGCGGAAAGTCGTCGTTCTTTGCCGCGACAATGACAGCATTGCGCGCAAGTCAGAACAACTGGTTCGTTTTTGCCTGTTGGGTGTACTATAATAAGCTAATTCTCACAACAAAACCAAGCAAAATCTGCTCAGGACTAGGTCACCCCAAGACTGCATCACCCCAAGACTGGATCACCTCAAGAGCTGGGTCACCTCAGGACTGGGTGTGCCAGACCTGA